GGCCGCCCCCCGCCAGACCCACTTCCGGCCCGGGCCGACCGTCCCGCCGCGCGGGGAGAAGGAAGTGTCGCAAAAGCGTCGCGCGCCGGCCCGGCGGCCCACCGACATGCCGGCCTCCTAGAGCGGCCGCTTCCTGGCCACCCGGAAGGCCTTCCCGCCGCCCACGGAGGTGCCTCTCTAGGATCGTGGTGCGTCTGTGGCGCGCTGGACGGACAGCGGTCCGGAAGTAGACCCTGGAGGGATTTTTGTCTTTGCTAGCAAGGCAGGGGAGAAAAGGCAACGCCAAAGTACTGCAGCGTTTTTGCCTTGTATTGCAGACTGAAGGGTTTGTGGCAACCCGGCTGTAATGTAGCCCTATTGATAGCGTTGCCAACTCTGGGCTGGGGAATTCTTGGAGATTTGGAGGGTGGAGTTTAGGATTTGTGAGGACTCTCAGCTGGGTAGAGTGCCGTAGAGTCCACCCTCCAGAGCAGCCATTTTCTCCAGGGAACTGATGTCTGTCCTTTGGGAACTAATTGGAATTGTGGGAAAGCTCCCGGCCCCACCTGGAGGTTGGTAGCTCCAGGCAGATGACAACGTGTAAACCTATGGAGTCAATAGCATCAGGCGTCTAATAAGGGGACTGGGTAAAAGTCAAATCTGGATGATTTTCAGTGGATCCTCATGAATTCATATGATTTTTGCATAGACCACCAAATAACATTTGTCTGTTTGGCCACAGCAAACACTGTCATATCACTTATTATGCCCAGAGTCACAGAAAGCACCACGAAAATCACAGGTCCACCACTTTGGGCCTCTCCCGTGGTGGAAAAACAGTTCTGAACCACAGACCCTAATGCATAGTCATGATTTTTTGCATTTGGTCACCATAAATTCACTATCAAATCACTCATCAAATCCATGGCTAAAGATTACAGTGCACCACAGAAATCACAGATCTGTTGCTTTGTGGCAATGCCATGGCACAAAAAACTGGGTCCAAAACACAGATCCTAATGGATACACAGTATTTTTATGTGTGGTTACCCCAAACTCACCACCAATTCGCTTGGTGGCAGTGTGGCAGTGCGACATCAAGAGCCCTGACGTAGGGTTGCCAAGTCCTTACCTGTTGCAGAGCAGGGGAGTCCAGCCTCATTCCGGGAGTCTATGCACGTGGAAGTGACGCAATCACGTCGGGAATGTTGGGGGCGGGGCTACAATAATCCGAGGGAAAACCATAGAGTTTTTGCCTCGGATGATTGTGGCCCTGCCCGTAATGTGCCCGACGTGATTGCGTCACTTCCTGGTGACGTGCTGACGCCGGGCACCTCAGGTGCTTTGGGGGTGGATGCATGATTTTGTGGTGCAGTCTGTGGCCATGGACATGATATGTGATTTGATAGTGAATTTGGGGTCACCAAATGAAAAAAATCCTTTGGTGGTACTGCTTGTAGACTAAGACATGTTCTACAATATGATGATGGTTTTATTTTGTTCATGAATTCATGAAGGTCCATACCTCTGATCCATGTTTTTGCACCATTGCAGCACCACAAAGCATTCGATCCATGTTTTTAATGGTTCAGTCCATGGTGCTGGCTTTGGCGTGATTTGATACTGGATCTGGGGGAGTTCTGTTAAAAAAAATTACAGGATCCATGAGGATCCATGTAGATCTACCTTTTGCTTTTTGAGAGCCAGTTTGGTGTAGTGATTAAGAGTAGCGGCCTCTAATCTGGAGAACCGGGTTTGATTACCCACTCCTCCACATGAAGCTAGCTGGGTGACCTTGGGTCAGTCACAGTTTTCTCAGAGCTCTCTCAGCCTCACCTACTTCACGGTGTCTGTTGTGGGCAGAGGAAGGGAAGGCAATTATAAACTGCCTTGAGATTCCTTTTAATGGCAAGAGAATGCTGGAATTTCAATGTAAAAGAACTCACGGAAACACACTTTCCAGTTTCCATGCAAGCTGTTTACAGCCTGATCTTAGATGTCTACTTGGTTGCAAGCTCTTCTGTGTTTCAGGGGTAAGCATGTTATTTGCTCTGTGTGGGTGAAGTTTAGTGGTATGCATTCGACCACCAGGTGGAGCCTTTCATCTATCTTTGCAAAGGCGAATTTATTTTCGCTCCTTTCTTCATAATAGCACCTGGTGTTGCTATTTTGGATTGGCTTCTCTTATGTTCTTATGAAGGTAGAGGCAACACACAACATTTGCACATAAAATGTGGATCACTGTCCCAGGCAAAGAATTAGAATTCATTAGCAAATTCAAAAGTGGGCTTGAAGCTCAACATCAAAAAAACCAAGATCATGGCATCCGGCCCCATCACTCCTTGGCAAATCGAAGGGGAAGTCGTGGAAGTAGTGACAGACTTCACGTTCCTGGGATCCCAGATCACTGCAGACTGTGACTGCAGCCATGAAATTAAAAGACGCCTGCTCCTTGGAAGGAAAGCAATGGCGAAACTAAACAGCATGATAAAAAGTAGAGACATCTCCCTGCCAACAA